AGCCAGATCTCTCGGGAATCAAGAAGAGGACAAGAACATAGTAAATGGTTCAGACATCAATCCCTAGAAAGAATTCTAAGGTTGTTAAGGATGCTGGGCATGTTTTGCCTGGATGAGAGAAGACTGAGAGGAGATGAAATGGTTATTTTCAAATATCTCAAGGGCTCTCACACTGCAGATGGAGGAAGTTTATTTTCTGTGATTTGATGGCACGTAACAACAGCAAGACAGGTGGGACCTAAACTGACATATTCATATGACAAGAAAGGAGATTCTGACTTTAGCATTAGGAAATGTTTCCTGATGCTAAGAATTACTTGACAAGGGGAACAGATTACTTCACAAGTTGGTAGACCATCCATATTTGGAGGTTTTTTAAAAGACATTGAATGGTCAAGAATACATTAGCTAAGGATTCCACATGATCAGGGGCTTGACCTTTCAGATTCCTTCCAGTTCATAGTTTTGTGATTCCATAGTACTGTTAGAATGGTGAGGTGGATTCAGTGTTTGTTTCCTACATTATCTACATACAGTGTTGAACTGAGTGAGTTGATAGATTGAGATTGGCAGAATTGCTGAGGGTACAACTTCAGTCTACATATAATGGCTCAAATCCTTTGAGTTGTACCTGCAGGGGTAATGCAATGGAAATAGATCTTGTTAAAAAGTAAACATAGGTATTTGCTGTTGCATGCCAAGTGACACAACTTGGTGTGCAAATGCAAATAGCTATGATGGCTTTTTAACTTTCAGCAGTTTGCGACCAAGATTTGCTTGAGTTGTGTTATGCCATCGTAAAAATGCAATAGGATTTTGTCCAGTATTTTTAAATTAGATAATCTGTGCTGTAAACTAGCACATGTAGGGAAAATGTTCAGTATTGCCTTCAGCCAATATACTTTGTACAGGGATTTCAGCAGCAGCATCACATTAAAATATATGACGTCCCATTTGTAATCTAAAGCAGTGTAGTTAGAATTCTACTTCCCCAATACATTATCTTAGTATATAAACTATTTGGCCCTTTTCAGGAGATCTTTGGTTCTCAAGATGGTTTGGCCAAGAGTTCCCATCAGCAAGAAAGCTGAAGTTTTTCCAGCCTTCCAGTGGACTGTGCTCTTCTACAGAAGCAACAACTGGAAACAAAATACTTATTTCATTTCAGGTTCAAACAGAAAAGGGAGTTGTTAAAGAAACGAATATACAGTGGTGCCTCGCTTAATGATGAATTCGCTTAGAGATGACTTTTTCGGAGCATTTTTGCGCTCCGTTTAACAATGTTTCGTATGGGTGATTTTCGCTTAGCGATTTCGGGACCATGCTTCACATAACGATTAGGTTTTTGGGTCCCCTGTTTCGCTTAACGATGGTTTAAACAGCCTCATGTTTGCTGTTTTTTAAATGTTATAAAGTTAAAGTTTACTGTGTAAAATGTTTGAAATCATAAAGTGCACTTAATAAACCCTTTGTTAACCAAATTTGACTTTGTTCTAACTCTTTTTAAATTTGTTGTTGAATTCCCCCCCCCCCATTGAGATGCATTGAATGGATTCCTATGGTGATTTTCGCTTAAGGATGGCAATTCGTTCCTATTGGAACGGATTATCCGGTTTTCAATGCATTTCAATGGGAAACCGCGTTTCGCTTAGCGATGTTTTCCCATAGCGATGATTTTTTTGGAACCAATTAAAATAGTTAAGCAAGGCACCACTGTATTTTTAATCAATGAGGTCATCATGGTTGACTGGTTCACTTCTATGATGTACAGGAGTAATAGTTACTGTATAGATGGTTTTCCTGTAAAATATGTCCACAGTTCTAGGCTTATTTCTGTTCTTATCTTGAATTTTAAATTTGGTTTGCTGAATATGAGCTGTGAATTCTTAGAGTAAGAGGAAGTGATGGAAAAGTCCAATAGATGTTGGGGTAGATACATAGGAGCTTTCGAAATTTGGGGCTGAAGGTTTATAGGAGCCTCTTTTTATGTCAATGTCAACATTATATATCATGTTTTGACCTACAGCTTCCTTCCACCGTCCACATCTAATATGAACAACATTTAAGAGAATATGGGAGTCATAACCCAAAATATCTGAAGGATGCAAGGTTGCTCACCATGGCCAATATATTCCTCTCACCTAGTTAGGAGAGGTTGCACGATAGCATTTAATGGTGACTAATGGCCTAAAAAGCAGGATGTAGACCACTTATTTTTCCCATGCAAGCAGATGTAGATGTTACCTGGAGCACTATGGGAGTAACTATGGTACTCTGTGTTGAATGTGTGGATATGATCTGAGCTTCATGGTGAGGGGAATGCAAGCTAGTGCCTGGAACAGCCATGTGAATTAACATTGCATTTGTAATGGGGCCTTTCCTAAACTCATCAATCCAGAAACCAAATGTTGGGTGTGAGGAGACACTAGAAGCAATGGACAGAAGTGGGCTGGAGTGATTTTAGAATTCAATGAGAGTATCATCTTACTTGAGATCAACTGTGCTGCTTTTTATATTTTCCATGTGGGATATGGTTTCGTTTTGGAATCAGGTTAACATTTTGGACCAAAAACCCCAACAACACATACATATAAATATAGAATGAGGTCATTAACCTTTTAAAAAGTGTTATAATCTTGGAACAAGAGTGGGGATGCTTTGGCCATCTAGCTGTTTTGGACATCAACTCTAATCAACCCCATCCTGCATGGTGCAATGGATTATGAAAGATGTGTTCCAGAACATCTAGAAGGTCACACTTTCTCCAGATTAATGGGCATGCTTGTGGTACAGCTAGAGTAAGGTCTTTATGTTTTCTTCCATACAATCTAGATAACAAGATTTCTTAGGTTTCTGATTCTGAAATAGTTTAAATGAGATCTTTCCCAAACTAATGCCCTACAGATGTTGCATTGTACACCCATTCCTTCCAAGCCATGGTGGCAATCAATCCCAACACATCTGCAAGGCGCGCGGTTGGGAAATCTGGCTTCAAATCTGGGGATGAGCCAGTTTAGTTTTTCTTTTCCTTGTGTGTAATGTTTCCTGTCAATAAAGTGTGGACGCCTTATTGACCTAAAAGAAAAAGTATGCATTGCCTGTGACTGACTTGCTGCTGCTTACCTTACTCACCTTGTACAGAAATGCTGATTGCTGTGACTAATCAGCCCATTTTTGTTTACCTTCTTCTCCTCTGTCCCCTGTCCCATCAAAGTCTTACTTTGGCTGGAACCAATGTTGCATTGATTGATGCTTGCATGTTTATTAACAATTTAGCTCTTGGTCTTTGCTTCACCATTATTAACTGTTTTAAATTCTGCACTGCATGCCTTTGCATAACCATATCCTTTGTACATTGTGATGAAAGTATCTGCTTAGTTAATTGAAACAACATGACTATAGTCTTATGTGCACTTACAGAGGAATAAGCCTTGTTGAATACAGTGGAGATTGGTTCCAGGTAGACATAACATAGAATTAATCTTGCTATCTGTTTCTGTGACAACATACAGGGATATATGTTCTCAATCCTCAGTGGGTCTTGCACCACTATAAGTGGTCATGGAAGGAACAGGGACACTTCAGATAACAACAGCCTCTTTAACTATTGTTGTCCAGTATCATTTTTTTTCAACCACTACAAAAATACACATATCAAAGAATGTTTCTTAATATACAGTATTTGGGAATCATTCTGAGTTAGGACAAAGAGTCTTGTGGCACCTTAAAAGTCTGAAAAAAGTTGTATTTGGCATAAGTTTGTGTGGACTGCAGTCCAGTTTCTCTCAGGTTCCTGTTAGAGAAATTAAAGGAAAAAGAGAAAGGCAAAATACTGTGGTATTTTAAAACTAATGTTTATTTCAGTGTTAGGTTTTGTGAATCTAAATGTTGCTTATTCAGACACAAGGAATGCAAATGTTACTATTTTGGAAATTCCTCAGTATGTGCATCTGAGAATACGGGCTACAGCCTGTGGAAGCTTATGTAACTTTTTATCTTTTATGGTGCTAGAACACTTTATAAATTTTACTGCAACAGAGTAACATAGCTAATTTCCTTGAAGAACTGGTGAATAATAATGGCCAGAATTCTGTTGCGAGACAATGTGTGCATAAGGGAAATTTGAAGGCAGTTTTTGCAATTGTCTGATTGTCTGTTGCATGCTGGGTGTGCAGCAAAGGGTGTGAACTGAGTATGTCAAAGCATGGGACAGACAGCTGGATCAGTTGCATACGCCAGTGACACAGGTTCGGGTTAATGCTACATACATCCAGTAAGATTCTGAGCAATAAATTGCATCTGTCTTTCACACCATTTTTGTGTATTCTTTCTTTGCATCTGTCGGAGTCTTTCACACCATTTTTGTGTATTCTTTCCATCACCTCCGGTCAAAAACCTGTTGATAATTGGGCCTTTTATATGTGAAATCACTCAAGTGGTGGCAGCAGATTAATAAAATACCAATCATATTCCTGGTTATGGGCCTATTCTGTAGCTGACTGGAGCATAAACAGCACCTCATTAAATGGTAGCAATTTGCTGCTGTCCATGACTGAATGCCTGCATAAATCGCCAGTAGGATTCTGGCCTCTGTAGGGTAAACCAATCTCATTATCCTCATATTCCAGATGGCAGACTGAGGCTGCCTGAGAGAATGACTAAAGCCACCTAAACTTATTGCCTTTGTCATTTTAATACAGAACATAGTAAGTTAAATCAATTTCATCTTGCCAAATGCTTAATGAAGACTACTGTCCCCTGGGAAAGCATCCCACAAATTTCCCATTTAAATGAACAATAGTTCAAGAATTGTGTGGGGCGCAATCCCAGTGAACAGGGTGTCAGACCCGCAACTTTAGAGCCTTTGGCTTCCCTTCCTGCTATAGTCATCCACATTATTGAACGAAATGCTTAACCAAGCTTCAGTGTAGTTGGAAATTCTGTAGAAAAGCTGGTATTCCAAGACAATTTGTTTATTTTTGTCTGTTTCAATACTTCAGGACTCTTTCTCCTGCCAAGTCCCCATCCTCTTCTACTGGCTCCATTGCTTCCAGCCGAAAATACCCATACCCAATGCCTCCACTTCCTGATGAAGAAAAAAGGGCCAACAGAGTAAGTGCCAGGGTAAGCATTGTGGCCTCCTTCAAACCTATCCATGCATCCTTTGGGTATTTTGAATCAGGTAAGCGTGACTTGCTTTATGGTCACAAATAATGCGTCAGATCCAGCTTCAGGAACCTGTTCTCCCTATTCCACCCCCACTTTCCATTGCATGCCATCTGCCTTTGTGGTGGAGATGCTGCTGAAGGGAAGAGGCTGCAATTCATGGCTTAAAGGGAAAATCTGTAAAAATTGGCCAGTTGCACCTTCCTTTTTTCTCCAGTATAGGGAAATTTCTTCCTTCCCTTACATACCACAGCGTACCTATTCAGTAGAATATCTTGACCTTACCTGTTGGTGAAAGGTGCTGCTGCGAGGGAGGAACTTAACTGCTCTTAATTATTAGAACAGTACAACAATGGAACCAATTATTTGGGAGCTGTTGAGTGCTGCAGTACCGGAGGCATTCAAGAGAAAATTGGACAATCATCTGTCAGATGACTTTATAGGTCCCTTCCAACTCCATTATTCTGTCATTCTATGAAGAGGTGGGGAAATCTGCTTGTGCCAACACAGCTAGACATACCTAACTCTGTACAATTAATCCATGATTGGGTGGAACTGGCACTTGGGTCTCTGCCTACTGGATTGTACTGGCTGTTTCCTAGTGAAAATACTCTGTTGCATCAGTTACAGTATTAGTAGTTGTACTGCAGTCCTAGTCATGACTTTCTCTTCCTCCTCTTATAGCTATGGGAGACTTCCATTTAGTTCCACTGTCTACCTGAGCTGACACCAGAACTGTTTACTTCACATTTTTTACAAACTCAGCATTACCAAGTTGCTGGACATTCATCTGCTAAGTGGACAGTTTCATGGGGCAAGAGACCCTACTCACCATGGAGCAAACAAGTTATCCCAACGAAGGAAAAGTTGGTTTTATGCATCTGGCTAAAATGTTGTCAACTACACAAAAGAACAAATGGACTGTGCAAAAAAAAGAGAAAAAAGTAACCCTGGCTAGATGGGCCTGAATATGATAAAATCATTCCGCATGATGAAAAATGATATGTCGAGATTCAGATAAAATTGGAGTCCCAACTATGGATTTTTCTCTAGTCTGACATAGTCCCAAAAAACTTCTTGAAAAAAAATCAGGATTTGGTATGTAAACATTTAAGCTGTATGCATGAGCCCCTCAGTTTGCCACTTTTCATGTGTAAGGGATTCGTCGTTATACTGTAGAGTTAGCATGCAGGAATAAGAAATGTTTTTTTCCACAAGTTGGAGCTGAAGAGGCAAATGTTTTTGATATAAGCATCCAAGAACAAAAAAGTGACTTGAAAACAACAACCACACAACTTTTGTGATAATATTCTCAGTAAAAATGCATATATGTATAAATATTGTAACATAGCAATGCTGAAAATACATTACATAGTATTGGAGGGGGGGTGTTGCTCTTTTGATTTGAATGGAACGTTACAGGATAGACAGAGAATGAAAGAGCTAAACTAAATGCACAATGTGGGAGATTCTTGAATAGGGTGGGGTTATAGCTCTGTGGCAGAATGGAAGCATGGCATGCCCCCCTCCCCTGCCAGTGTTCAGACTCCACGCAAGTTCTGTCTGAAACATCAGGAGAGCTACCATTGCTCAAATCTGCAAATATTAAACCAGATGGAATCAATGGTCTTCTGGGGTATCAGCTACCTTCTTGCCATCTTGAACAGGTTTGTTTGTTTGTTTGGTCCATTTTTGATGGGAGGATTGTTTTGTTTTTGTTTAGTAGCAGCTGCACAAAGGGAGGGCTATTCTGAGTTTGAAAGCAGTACTGTATTAAGGAAAGGTTTTTCAATGCTTTCTCCTCATATTGGTTTTTGCCTCCTTGCAACTGCGAATCAGACATGGATCTATATTCTAAGCAAAGGTGCCAACTTGAAGGTCTCATCCAGAAGTTATGAACTTCAGTTCCCAGACCATTGGACTATGCTTACTAGTGCTTTTGAGAGTTGAAGTTCAGAAATCTGGAGAGCCAGTGGTTGAGAACATCAAGTCTGGACCAATGAAGAATAGAAATTCGTGGTCAGATTCCCCCCCTCCCCATTGAAATTGTTGGGATTCAAACAGAATACATGATTAACTTCATAGCTGGAACCACAACAGGTAATGTGACCATAAGCCAAATGGCATATTTGCTGTATTTACTGAACCCACAATTTTCTAAAATACAGCTACGCCAGAACTCCCATGTTTTTCTGACTTCACTTTTACCCTGTGTGCTGATACAATATTGTGTACATAGAACAGTATTTGGCCAAGTAGGAGAAATTGTTGGAAAGGTTGAGCGAAGCACTGGAGATCATGTGTGTCTGTGGCATTTGATAGGCAAAGTGGAACAATGCACACTGCAGATTGTGCAGCAGTAGCATGAGTGCAAATTGACATGTTTGTGGGTTGATATGATACAATCCTTCACCTGACCCCATTGGCCTTCATACAGGGAATTTCATAAAGTTAACATGATATTGCCAGTATAAACATTTTATATGGGAGGCATTCCAACTTTGTAACCTTGGACAAAATGTCCAAGGATACGAAGATTATATGTAAAAGAAAAGGTAGACTAATCTTTTCAAATCCATTTGGGCTGCAATCCTGTAGCCATTCACCTGGAAGTAAGCCTCACTGAGACCTGGGTCTTCCTTTTGCGCAGACATGTATAGCATTGTGCTGTACATCACTAAGGCCTAATCCCCATTCAGTCCAGTGAAGTTTACTCCAGAGGCAAAGGATCGTTCTGCACATTTTAAAGTTAACAGTTATATTCTAATTAAACATTTCAAAATGATTGTAAGATGAAATGATTCTTGTAACTTTATTGTAACTATAGTAAGGAGTTGTCTTTCCATGCCTATTAGGCAACATTTTATATCCAGCACTTTGTAGTGGTAGGATTTGCTGTGGAGGCACTCTTGAAGCAGAAGATTGAGAGCCATGTTTTATTTTTATATAAATTCCAGGAGATTCAACTGTGGCATTCCTTAGCAGAAGCTGGGAGGAACTCTACAGCCTTGCAAGGGGCCCCGTGGTAAAAGGGCAGAACCATACATCTAGTTTCATGCTGGGCACTCCTTCATGGGTCCTGAAAATCTCCCAGTTAAAAGCAATTTTAAAGCATATAGCATTGTTCAGTCTTTTAACAATAATTGGAAGGGGAGGTAATTTTTATTTCTGAATCATCTACCTCTTTTGCCTAATCTGTTTGCTTAGGTGTGTTACCATGCACGGCCTCCCATTTTGCAGCTGGACTTATTTTAAGAAATTCCACTTATTTGAGCATATCAGTCGTATGAAAAGTGAAGGTACTTGCTTAAGAATGTCTAAGACTGTAAAATATGTAAGACTTTGAAAATATTATATTTATAAGACTTTGCCAGTTATATTTATACAGTGCTGGCTTTGTGGTCATAAATATCACAATAAGAGGCATAATGTTTTGGTAAGTCTATTGATTTGTAAACACAAGGAAAGGGAGAACCCACATAGCAAATTCGCACATGAAAAATAACTGAAAGATTATAGAATATAAATATATAAACAAATATATATATATTTAGAATTTTGCAGATTTATACTGTAAAATGGGGATTTGAGAGCTGAGTCAACAAATCCTGTCATTGGGCCTGGAGGAATGTTGGTCAAAGTTGTAGTTTTCTTTCTGCAGGGTGATCCTGGAATATCTTCTCCCCAAGATGAGGAAAACATAAAATGGCTGACTTAATGGTCATTGTAGAAAATCTTCTCAAATTCTAGCTTTGATGTTTCTCATGTGCCTTTTTTGAATCGTTTGATTTGATGTAAACCATGTGTCATTTAAAATTGAATGTGATATTTTCTTTGTCCTCCTTTCATCTGTTGTTTTTAGATTATTAAGAATAAAAAGCCCCATTTTTTAACAGACAAAGCTGAATGTAATGTGAGAGCTGAGGTCAGTATAAACTATTCGTTTACAAATAACCTTCTCTGTAGTTAATGGCACACACAGTCATCCACCATTGCTTGATCATTATTATTTGTACATATTCAGTTACTTAAACATCTTAATGTAAGATTAATTATAATTTTAATAAATTTTGGTGTTTACTTTGTGGTCTAGTACAGGTTTTCTTAGCTCATAAATCTGGTTTGCCTTGGCTTGTGAAAATGGAATGAATGGTGAATCAGTAGAAGGTAGGAAGTGGATCGGGGCTGCAAAGATTGACTAGTGGGTTTGAGACCGTGAAGGTAAGATGTTAGAAGACCTACTGTGTCTAGTTATTTCTTACTTTAGATGTATATGGTCAGGTGTGGGATAGCTGTTTTTGATTTAAGTTTCCTCTATCAGGATTTAGAAACTAAACAAATCTTAAATTACTGTATGTGCATTGCTGGTACTTTCTGATATCCTGCAAATTCCACTATATTGAGGGGTTTAATGTTTTATAACTTGTTCCTCTCCTACTGGTGGATGGACGTCATCATGGCTATCTTGACTCTGGATATGGCAGCTCTAAACAATGAGGTATTGTATCTAAACCAGTCTTCAAGGATCTTTGGATTTTAAGTTCTTCTCCTTATTGCACCTCATTTCCCATTTCTTTTAGCCCAAGTAATCTATGTTTTGTTTCATTTAGTGTATACATCTTGTATTTCCTGAACCCACTGAAAACTCTCCACCCAATCATAATAAGACTCCCCTACTTGTAAGGAGGGTGTATGATTCTCTTCTCAGCATCACTGTTTGCTGGAAAAAAGCATGAAAACTGTTTTATTTTTATTTGAACATGTTACATTGCATGGGATAGGAAAGTACTCCAGCAGATCTGTTTGGACTGTTTATGTCCACAATAAAAATTTGTCCTCATCCCACCCCAACAACTGCAGAAGGCTGGTAGCTAAAAAGGAGGGATGCTGTTTAGAATAGGTTGGGTGTACGTAGAGATGGACACAGACTGTTGGTTTGGTGGTTTGACACACAGTTCGTTTTGTGGGGGAACAGCTGATCCATGTTTTTCGATGCCCTGCTCCCTCCAGCAGGTGCCCATTTAGGAGGGGTACTGTCTCTGAGTGGGTGCCCGCTGGAGGGGGCACGGCCCTAAACTGCGCATCAGCTATTCAGCCGGGAAACAAACTGTACTGAACAGTGGTTTGTCCCCATCTTTATTCAGGTGACAATGGCTCAAAAATGCATACCTTGTAGATTTCTTTTTGTGTGAATTCTGAAATAAAAGTATAGCTGTAGGGAACTTAAAATGTCCCCTCCAAGTGCATGAAGATTAAACTGTGAGGATGGCTGAGGCAATGGAAGGTTTTTACACTGAGTTCAGTTCTTTAATTTAGAAGGTGATTTTATTTTTTAGATCTGGAAAAATTAGACTGAACTTTCAGGCTCAACTTCCTTTGGCCTTTTAAAGAGCACATGCATATTTTTTGGTAGTTTTATAGCTTCTTTTATTTCCTGTTTTGCAGTATAACCAATAGTTGTAGTCTTCAAAAAGGCAATTTTCCAAGGTGACTGAAAATATCATAATGAGCTTTGGTTTCCGGTTGCACAAAACAAAATTGATGAAGAAGTTGGAGCCATAGACGTGAAACCCACACCTCTTCTTCCATCTCACCCTATTGTATTGATTTCAAATTCTGTTCAGAGGAACAACATCTGGACATGAAACAGCCAGATGTGCAAATGCAAATTGACAGAAGTAGCTGTTTGAACAAGATCTAAACAGGATCAATGATGGCATTTATTCTGTTTTGGGGTTTTGGCAATGATTCACTTTATGTTGCTTGCTAGGGTCTGTGTCCTTTTGACAGTCCCCAATAGAGTGGACCTATTGAATTGGTTGTTGATTGCCAAGAGCATTTACATAAATCTCATTGATTCAATGGGTCTACTGTAGCTTGGATTACCAATAGGATTATGATCTGACTGTATTTTGTTCTTCTACTTACCTTTATCAGCCTTGTAACAAAAATATTTTAGTGTAATTTTATGTATTGATAGGGATGAAATAGCAATACCCATATATTACCTGTTTTTAAGGGTCTTTTCTACTATGAAACACCCATGAAGCAGTCTTTTGTGCATTGCCTCTAGGTGTTCTTAAATTTTCTGTTATTTCCATGTTGTTTCATATCATACTGGCAAGCCGTGTAGGCATTAGTGTCACCTATACTGACATATGTGTACAAGATACTCAGAATGTGTTTTGTTTCACAGACAGGAAATTGGGGGAAACTACTGTTGCAAGAAGAATTCTCGCGTCTATTGAAAGTTAGGACGTTTACAGTAATCCTATGTATGTTTACTCAGAAATCCCACTGTGTCCAGTAATGGGACTTGCTCTCAGGTAAATGTGCATAAGATCACACTTAGACTGACCGCATACATACACAGAGTATCAAAGGTTGGTGCTGATTTTAAGCCCTGCTTCTCAAATTCAGGGATTCTGAAAATAATGCCTTTTCAGCTGGGTTAGAGCAATAAGATATAGTCAGGAACCAGCTGCATGTTTTCAGAAACAAAGAACATCCAGTGATTCTTCTTATCCCATTGATAGATACAATCAGATAATCCCTGTCAATGATTCATTCCATCTTGTTGGGGCCAGGTTGCGCCACATATGTCATTACCGCAACATCCCTCTGCCTTGTATGTGTCTTCCCCTTTTCATCTTTTTGGGTACCCCATGGCTTGATGATGGCTTCTTGAATGCTGGAAAACTTGAGTGCTTCCACATTTTGGTGGCATTGTGGTTGTTTTTAGGAAATATATTGTTGAACTGTAGATTTTGTTTTCAAACACCAGCACAGCTTTGCTTTACTTCCCAATTTTTAAAAAAATAGTGATTCATTAGTTGAGCGCTTTCAGAGCACTCTTAATAGCATTTCCATCCTCTCAAACTTTATCTGAGAGCAGAAGTGTTTTGTTTAATGTATGCATTTTCTTTTCATTTTATAAAATGGTTGCTACATATTTTCTATTAATGAAATGAACATGAAATACTATGTAACTTTTTTTTGGTGAAGGTGTAAGTTAGTAGGTATAGCCAGTGTGGTTTCTACATCACGTGGCACCTGAAGAGCATTATAGTGATTTTGTTGTGGTTAACCATCATTTCTGTGGCATGTAGTGATCCTTCACCTCACAACTAAGTTTCTAGTTCTAGTGAAGTTTGGTTCTGATGAAAATATTTTCAAACAATACGAAATCAGTACTACGGCTGTTTGACATGAAAAGGAGCTGAAAATTAGGAGAAATTAATCAATAGCCAGAAAGCAATTAAGTATCCAAATATAAGAGACTGATAAGGCAGAGCCTGTTATCTATTCTATATGACAATCAAGCAGGTAAAAGATGGCACAATGGGAATTTAATGAATAGCCTGAAGGTGCTTCTGGATTCCTAGCACTATAAAATTTAAAAGCATGGCACACCTATTCTATCTCTTCCTCCCAGAGAAATTCCATTGTGGTAAGAAAAAGCACAGCAGTGATGGGAAAGGGTTAGAAACGGAAGACAATAACATTCGGACCTCTTACTCCACACCATTGTATAATGTTGGAGGCAGCCCAGTTGAACTACAGAAGTCAAGGACCCTTAAACTATAGATGTAAATGATGGTCACATTTTAAAATCCTTACAGATTAGGCAAATGAACAGCCCCATTAAGTCTTACAGTGCATTCTTAAGAGCAAGGAGGTGGATGGAAGGAACAAACACACCAATTTATTGACTCCATTCCTTCCAGAGCCCCATATGCATTGGTGGTGGTGATTAGGTTGCAAGCATTGATGGAGACAACCTTCTGCTTGTTTCCCTTTCCACATTTGACTGATCTGCAACATATACTGGAGGGTGGAGGGGTCATGCGTTGGTGGTGGTGATAGGATGCAAGCATTGATGGAGACAATCTTCTGCTTGTTTCCCTTTCCACGTTTGACCGGTCTGCAACATATACTGGAGGGTGGAGGGGTCCTGTGGAATTAAGATGTGCTCTGATTTCTGACATCGAAATTTCATTCTGTGTTTAGGGGTATTGCCAGGGGCTGAGAGGCCTTTAGATCTTGCTGATCCAATGCCTCTTCTCCCCTCCAACATCCATTTTGCTCCTTTCTTAGGTTGGCGTTCCAACCTGGATGGGAGAGGCCACTTCAAAATTTCCATAGTAGCTGGGAGAGGTCAGGAGGAGAGAATCCAGCATCCGATCTCCAGCTCTGAGGTCACAGCTTTGTTGAAGACCTTGGAAAAAGGAGACCCGCTCTTTCCTGTGGCCTCTGGGACATATCTTTAGAGCCACAGGATTGCAGCCTTAGAGGCCTTAAGACCTTAATATTCAAGAATTTCAAAGTATATTTTTACAATAAGTTCAAAGACAGTTGTAAATATGCTTCACTGCCCTTGAATATAGTGGTGCTAGCTAACTGTACAACAACATTGTGATTCTGTAAATGCTGTGATATCGCATATATAATGGTATAATAACGCCTGCTGATTGCCTGCATTGAGAATCTATGTAGTACCTGCTAGGGCATACAGTCTGGTGTTTATTAAACTGTGACTATTTGAGTAAAAACATACCACTGTATTATTGAGATACTGGCCACAATCTCAGTATATTTTAAGTGTGCTTTTAATGCCATTAAATGGAACTTGAACCACACTTATGTGGGTTGTCCATTTGACTTCAACACTTTGTTATAATTGCTATGACTTTTTTTTCCGAAGTAGCAATGAGCACATTTTCAATCTGCTGCTGAAATTATTTTCAGTACAAAAGATTTCAGCAGTGTAGTCGGTGTACAATATATTGCAACAGCTGATTTTTTTTTGAGTGTTTGTGTTTAAAGTCTTTTAAAACTATCCCATATTGTGAGAACAAACACCACTGGAATTTGTTTCTGCAACAGTGACCAATCATGTTATATCTTGAAATTGTTTTGCTAAATGGAATGCTCTCAATTTTTACCCTGCTTGAAATGTCTGATTTTGAAAATGCCACTACCAAATCTTGCCCATTGCATCCATGTGGCTCTGAATATGACTTATTCCCCCATCAGCATCCAAATTCATAGTCAGCCTTCCCATAACTGAATAAAATGTTCCTTTTTATAAAACTGTAATTTGCCAGTCTCAATTCCTGCATACTTTTCATTACTACAAGAATATTTAATATAAAATTATTAATCCCCACTGTTAATTACTGTACTATAACATCAATAAAAATGACTTTCAAATGAATACAGCTGTGGTGTCATGTTTGCTTTAAATGGTCTCTTATTTATTTTGTGGATGATAAAAGGTATTTACTCTTGACAATAGGACCTTGCAATTTCCTAGATCTCTAAAGTTTAAGAGCAAATGTCTTTACTAGCAAAAAAGTGTTCCAATTCAAAAACAAACAAAAATTAGCTCTGTGGTCAATGAACAAAATACAGAATAAGGGTTGGGTAGTATGTTTATTAAACTTTTAAGCTAAATATTACTTCAACACATTCTACTATTTTAAAAAACATTTGAGATGTGGACTTCTGCTAGCTCTGTTCAGAGATAAGACAATATTTAAAAGCCAGGACCCTATTACATGGAGCTGTCTTTTGCAGATCAGGAAGCTGGTGTACTGGGACTTATGCCTGAGCAGAAACACTCAAGCTTTAGAATCGTAGAATCATGAAGTTGGAAAGAGCCTCTAAGGCCATCCAACACCTTGCTCAATGCAGGAATACGAATCAAAGGATATCTGCAAGGTGGATGTCATTTTGAATGCCTCCAATGTTGGAGTACTGGAGTGAAATATTTAGCAAAAAGTGTCTTTAAGTTGGTAAAAACTGCATCTAACCAAATCTCAGCTTGCCTTGACTCCATCCCAGCTCCACCCACCTCCATAATGCAACACATTAAGGCTCTTCCCCAACTGGAATTTGGGCACCCTGGCTTTGACGCTATTTCCCCAACCCTAACTTATATTAAATTTCATTCCCCCCCCAAAGAAAATCTATCATATTCAAAACTAGCTAACTTATCTAGTTTCTTTCATGCTCTGGCAGTATATTAAATAGATTAAATCCAATTTTAATTGTTGCTTTTAGATTAATGCTCAAAACCTAAGTATCTCCTCTCTGGTTAGACAATCTTGAAGCTTTGGAACTCTGAAATATATAAAAAGCATATTTTTGCTATGTCAGGCACACAGAATAATTTGTTACTGTCCAATTTGTTTTTGTTGTTAGTTATGTTGTTATGTAATTGACAGGAACCTTAACAGGGTTTTAAAAGAATGTAAGATACAAATTCATCCCCTTGTCAGAGTTTCTGTGATGAAGCAGAGATTTGAACCTGCTTCTTGTCAAACTTCTAAACCACATTTTATTACACAGTTACCAATAATGGTATCGATCATACAATATAAACAGGATTTTTTCCCCCTGGAGTTTGAACATCAGTAGTTTAATGTTTTACTTCAACAACTCCAAAATAGTATTACTGTCTGGCTTTAGGGAAAAATTCAAGGCTACGGTAATATTACAACTATATCCAGCCAGTCCATCTGAACCATGAACAGATTTCTCCCACAGTTCCTTTTGTGTTTGCATGTTAAGCCCCAGCAACAAAAAGGTGGCCGCAGTTTTCTCTGTGCAGTTTCCCAAAACAAGAAGCTAGTCAGAGAGGGAGAGGAATCCAGCTCTGATTATTCTGTAGTAATGTTTGCATGTAGCTAGGGAAATTGGGTTGGGTGGGTGGGTGAACAGGGAATTGTTCTTGCCCATTCCAGCCCATGCAACTTATTTTTGCAGAGCAGAATTTTCCACATCTTGTTTTTGCAAAATCTGACATTTGATTTCATTTTCATTGAATTGGAAAAAGAAAACTAGCTCAGACAAAATAAAGCAATGCATTCTTTTTTTACCTGATGGATGGAGCAGAAACAACTAAAATTAAAAGCTAATTAAATGCACCATAAACTGGCAGTTAAATACACAAGCTTCTAAGTTTGCCAGTGAACATATTAAATTCGCTTCTTCATATTTTCCTGACCATTAACGCTGAAGCTATAGAATACAGATGGCTCATCAGTCATTCTCCTCCATCCAAAAGGAACTGAATCTGGAGACGGGAAGAGTCATCCCTAGGACCCACTGAAATCCAGTCACATAAAATATAGGGGCCATTCATTAAGATAAACTAATGCTCCTTAAAATTCGGTACAAAGCTACTGAAGTACAATTCCTATCATAGTTGTAAATGACACATGCAAGCAAATACCTCAACAAATTATCTAAGCAATAGGATTTCAGCCAAAGTCCCTTTGTCAAGAGACTCTGGCTGAAATTCTGTTGCTTAGTATAGTAAGTCACAATTAGAGTAGGCTCACTTAATTGGTGTGTTAACTCCGTAAGCTCAATTAATTCAATGGGCCTACTCTATTTGTAACTTGCCATGCTCAACAACATAATTTCAGGTTCTTTTTAAAATTGCATAACAAATATTCTGGCAACAAAGGACACAGCACAGATGTTGTACTCTTTCCAGGTATGATGCACAGGTGAACAACTGTGGCTCTTAAGACTTGGTTGAACTTTAGTCCTCATCATCTCTAACCATCTGCCACCTGCCTCTGCTATAACAAAAATTTCTCTACAAAAGTATTTAAAGTTCTTGCTCAAGATTTTTCCCTATAAAATGGTGCCTTGCTTAATGGGCACCCAGTTTAACGATGAAATCGCATACCAATGAACTTTTTGCGATCGCTTTTGCGATTGCATTGTGATGTTTTAAATGGGGAAAATCACTTTGCGATGATCAGTACCATTTCGCTTACCAATCATCGCAAAGCAATGATTTTTTAACAGCTGATTGGCGGTTCCAAAATTGCCGCCGGGTAAAAAAAATGGCCACCCGCTGTTTTCTGGGACAGATTCCTCGCTTACCGGGCAGCGAAAATGGCCGCCGTATGGAGGATTTCCGCTTAAAGGTGAGTCTGAAGCCCATAGGAACACATTGAAGGGGTTTCAATGCGTTCCTATGGGCTTTTTAATATCGCATAGCGACGAAATCGCTTTGCGGCGATTTTTGCTGCACCGGTTATCGTCGTTATGCGAGGCACCACTGTACTAATTAGGACAGTAGCCTTGTTACTAATTTGTGCATCTACTTTAGTCCAAATACATGGGAATTTTTTTGTTGAAAGGTACATAACATACCTGAGGAGCATGACTTTATTAAGCTAATAGTTCTTATAATTCAGAATACATGGCACAGCACAAATACCTGAATTATTGGATAAAAAGGGAAACTATGGATATAGGTGACAAAATACTGCCTCAAATCCTCTTACTTAGTTATGCTGGTGTCCATACCCAGAAGGATTTCTGGAGGCGAACTGCCCAAAGTTAAGAAATCAAGCATTATCGGTTGCAATACTGAGTTGTATAACTCACCATGCAGTAGATGTGTATGGTGACCTTAATATGGAAAAAATTGCCTCCAAAAATTATTCCATTGGCATAGCTATGCAAGAGAATTTTAGCACTGTTTTAAAGAAGTAATGCTTTGATTGCTGATAAAGAAGTTTTTCAATTTGATTCTCTCAAAATACTATTCCTAGCAGGAAGTTTCATTTTATGCACTTATTTTAATAAGAGGCCTGGTTTCCGATCCTTTGGCCACCATGACAGCATGGGTACAAAGCATGTTCTAATATAAACAGTTTAAGGGAGTACAGGAAAATATAATAAAGGAAAAGAAATGAACTGCAATTTTTTGTTTTGTTTTTATCAAGGCAATTATAAATATGCAAGACAGATAAACTCAAAACAGAATTTATTGAATTTCCTTCTTTTTGTTAGTTATCAAAACTATAAAAAGCATATAAATCAATACTTATAAAATGTGCAGATACCACCATTCAGTTACACAGCCATGATAATTTTTGGTGCAAAGCAAAATAAAGTGGAATGTGGGTCATGCTCATCCGTCTCTTCCTTCAGCTTGAATCAGATGCTCATGACGCACTGTATGAACTGCAAAGACAGGGAAAAAGCACATGTGAAGGGCACTGCTGCAGTGCGGTAATAAAGTGTCTCTGTACAGCAGGAATGGGGCACCTCAGCACCCCCCCCATGAAGTTTGGACTAAAATTCCCATCATCCCTGACCATCAGCGTATGAACTGAGGTTGAGGGGATCTGGAGGGCCAGAGGTTACACAACAACCCTGCTACCGAAGGAAAGGATGGGAACCTTAGCTTTTTCGATTACAAGTCTCAGTATCCCCCAGTCAGCAAGGATTTAAGGAATAATACCCTGAAAAAGTATTATTTCCACATTCTTCTGTAAATGACTGCCTTTGAGTAGTGGTTTTTAAATTATTCTGGAGGGCCAGAGGTTACACAACAACCCTGCTACCGAAGGAAAGGATGGGAACCTTAGCTTTTTCGATTAAAAGTCTCAGTATCCCCCCAGTCAGCAAAGATTTAAGGAATAATACCCTGAAAAAGTAATATTTCCACATTCTTCTGTAAATGAGTGCCTTTGAGTAGTGGTTTTTAAATTATTCGTAGAAATACTAGAGTTCTTTGGATGAATGATTAGAAGTGACTGACAGGCTTCCATGAAAGGCATCTTAGCATTATTTTTACAGAATTTGCAACTACTGAGAAAACGCTGGAAATGTTCAACAGCAGTGGTTCCCAACCTGGGGTCCCTAGATGTTCTTAGACTACAACTCCCAGAAGCCTTCACCACCACCTCCGCTGGCCAGGATTTCTGGGAGCTGCAGTCCAAGAACATGTGGGGACCCAAGGTTGGGAACCATCACCCTACAGTCTGCTAACATTTCTATCTAGAGCAGAGTCTCACAGGCCTGAGTGCTCTTTCATGTGACCTAAAAACGCATATGAAGTTGCTATATAAGCCAGCACTGCTGCAATTGTGTGTCTCCCTCATGAGAAATCAGGCATCCAGAAAAAAAGGCTTTGGTATTTTCTTTTTCATTTGATGCACCATCCAGCTTTAGATTAATCAACTGGGATCGGCCTTCAGGAGAATTTCTTATATTCAGAAGAAGCTGTGTGGAAAACTTGTTGCACCAACAGAGTGATTTGCATGCGGAAAAGGCTCAGGTGGGGCTAGAAAGCCTGTTTGAGACTCTGGATGCTGCTGTCAGTCTACCTGGTACTGAGTCAAACAGGACAATAATCTGGGGCAACTAAAGCAGCTTCTTTTTATATAGGCATAAATGGTGTTCTAAATCTGCTTTAGGAATGTTACTGAGTAGTACAAGATTAACCAACTTCATTGGGATGAGGGGCGTAAACAATTTCAGTCTTGAATTTTCAGCTGACTAACAATAATTGTGTGCCACCAGTTTGATTCCAACTTATGATGACCCTTCCCAGGGTTTCCCAGGTATACAGCACTCAGAAGTGGTTTACCAGTGTCTTTTTATGGGGGTGCTACGGGACTATGTGGCTTGCCCAAGGCCACACAGGCTGGCTTTTCTGCTAGGAGTTACACTGCCAACATTCCCTCTAATTTTCAGCCCCACTGGGTGGGGCTCCACCCCAATCTCATGCGACTCCACCCTGCTTCCACTCCCAACCCCACATGGGGTCCCATTGTGACCAGAACTAAAGGGGCTGGAAACGCTCACTATGGGTGCATGGAGAAGGAAGAAAGCAGCCTAGAGGGTGTCGGAGTCATGCACATGTGCGCCGCTACGCACCTCAGAGGGAACCTTGCACAGTGGGAAAGAGAATTCCTAATCTCTAGCTCTGCAACCAGATGCTCTCAACTTCAACTGGTGCAATTGGTCACAAAACTCAAAGACTGTCTGGTTTTACTCAAGAGAAGACAAGTGACTTGACAGACACACCGGCACAGAGGGGCAAAGAGAGAAAAACCTCCGTCCACTTACATCATCATACTGGAAGTTCACCATTCCTTGCTGAGCTTGATCCCTTCTTCGGAAACTGTCTGCAAGGAGGACAGAAAGAGCCAAATGTTGAAATGGGAGCCAGGAGGCAAAAAAGCAGGAACCAGGATGGAAAAAAGCACAATTAAATAGCCAATACTGGTAGATTGACTTATGAGAGTCAGCAAACAACACCATGGGTTGATCTCTAAAAACTATCCACTGATTTGCTATTCCACACATACCATGGCTTCTCGGTTAAAAAGTGTTGCTAACCATGTCACGTTAGCAACACTTTTTTAGGGGAAGAAGATTTAAAGGTCATCACCTGCCTGGCTCATCGAAAAGACCTCTTTTATTCCTCAGAGACATGTAAAGCAGCTTTGGGTCCTTGCTTGACATTGAGACAGTGTGAAAATGCATTCCCTCACCCACCAAATTTGCCCAGGTAGCCATGGTGCTGTCTTCTCAGGTGAAGAAGCATTTCCTAGTTATAGTCAAGAAGAAATTCCCAGCATTACATGGAAAGAACAGAAGCAAGAGATTATATAGGAGTTATTTCTATATCTTGTTCTGTTATGATGAGACAAACAAAAACATGGGTAGGCAAGTTTCAAAGCTACCTGGTTTGCCAAGGAAAATTTACATGTGCTAATGGAACTACCATCAACTGCTGAGTTTAATCTGGGTTGATTATGTTCTGTCATAAATCTGTAGCAAAACCAACTTGTTATTAGAATGTCTTAAGTTTTAAGGCTGCTTGCCACAGTAGAAAATAAGAGTAAGAGATCAAACTCACGTAACCATTCTCAGACAAATAAAATGTTAAATTTTATTTCAGTAAATAAAGAGACATTGGAACAATCCCATAAATGGTAAAAATTAATCTTTACTAACGCACTTTCTACGAAAAGGTGTTTTTTTTTTAAAACAAATGATGTCAATGAATGGGCAGAAAGACTCTGTACCAAATTGGTGGACATTTCTAAAATGGATCAGAGAACTTGCATGACAGAATTTAAAACAATATTGATAGAATGGAAAACTGAGCCAAAATGAATAGATTGATATTCAAAAAAGAAAAATGTAGGTAAATGACAATATAGAACCAGCTGGGACAGGCAATTGACATGGTATCCCAACACTGCCACCAGACTGTTTGGCAAAAATCACATGAAAATAAGCTCAAAACCAATGAATCTGAGCCAACAATTGGACCTGAGCCAATTGCACCTGCAAAATAGGCTAATCCAATTTTGAGCTACATTAACAGAAATCTTCACATAGTTGAAGAGCTACTAGAAAGAATAGAGGCTAAACATGCTCTATGCTGTTCCAGGATTGGATCAAACAGATTCAAGGTATAGAGGGGCAGATCTCAATTTTTCCATTTGATTCTTCTTAGGAAGAGACAGCACAATAATGGAATCAAGTAACTACAGAGGAAGTGACCCCTCTTTCACTGAAGGTCTTCAAGAAGATGGTGTATAGCCAGCCTTCAGAAATGCCCTAGTGCCGTGGTCTGTAAACCCTTTTGGGTAATGGACCCCTTTGGGAATCCAATTAAAACTATGGGCTCCCTCTGAGTACTTGACATAAAGTGGGTAGAGATTCTCCTCCACAAAAACAATTTTCTGGAAGGAAATCTAAGGAAAAAAAACCTGTTTTGCTCTAGTTCATGAACCCTTTAAATCTCATTCATGGACACGCAGGTTAAGAATTCTCACTCTAGTTCTCCAACTCCAGTGTCAGACTAAAAAAACCTCAACCCTCCAACTCCTTCTTTTAAGAAACTCATATACTGTAATTAGCCCAGTTTGTTAAGTGAAGGAAATTCTTTGAGTGCCACAGAATATTTGGGCAGGAGGAATCAGAAATAGCTCATCACAGAATCATAGAAAAGTGAAGTTAGAAGGAGCCTACAAGGCCATCAAGTCCACAAATACCCACCCCGCTCAATGCAGGAATACGATCAAAACATGTCTGCCAGGTGATTATCTAACTTTTTCTTGAATGTCTCCAACTAATTCCAACAGAAATAAACGAAAACATACCAGTAAGAGCTCTAAGTTTGACACAGCAGGCAATGTAGTCATCAAATGCTATTTTTCCACGACCACTGTATCGTTTCACAATTCCATTGATTGCCTGGGGGCTCAATCTAAATCCTACACAGAAGAAGGGCAGGGAAAATAGAATAAAAAAACTCAGAGCAGAACAAGTTTAAAGCATATTCTTTATAATAACAGCAAACTTGGTTCTCCAAGGGTAGACCTTCATGTTGTCAGCATGGCACAATCCACACGGTAATGTTGTATTGCAAGTCTACCTTGTAAATTGAGTCCTATAATGTGGTTGCAGAAAGACATTCTTAATGTGCTTTGCATCATTAGGGGGTCTTACTTCGTCAAGAAAAGCTGGTCTTTAAAGTCATCTATGAATTTGTTTGATGGCAACTGACTGATTTCTGCTCGGAGATTTCAAAACTCACCCATGCTCAACAAAGCTTTCTGCAGTTCCTGAGAATCAACCGCCCCACTGCGGTCAGTGTCAACGGTCATGAAGTGTTGCCTCCAGCCATTGAGAACAGCCCAAAGCTCTTTAAATTCATTGAACCCCAGAGTGCCAGACATATCTCTCTGGATTATGGCTAAGGAACAAGTTGCACCAATAACAAGATAAAGGGAAGAGAAATATTCTCAAATGCAGTATTATCATACCTGGGAATATTCTGGTTCTAGCTAAGACTATTGCTCCAGAGCTGCCCCACTTAAATGAGTAGCTGGACTGAGTTGAGCTGATGAATTTAACTGAAGCTCCAAGCTATATAGCTGTAAGCATGCTATATAGGCCTGTAGTGCAGGGAAGGGAAAGGGACACTACAGGTTCATTTTGGTGAAATGACAAAGAAATGTCCAGTCAGGTTGAGTTCCAGCATTATGCATTAATAATGCTATCAGTCAGTAATCAAAATTGTATAATATGGATCAAACCATTTCTACAGATTGTATTAGTTTATTACACCAGCATGTAGAAGTTACAAATGGAAAATGACCATATTGTATCTAATCTTTCTAAGAGTGGGTATCTTGCAGTCACCCAGGTGTTGTGATGCAAATATAATCCTTGATGATATATATGGTGACTGATACAGGTTGGAACCCAAGAACACCTGGAAGGCCACAGTTTTGCTACCCTTGTTCGGTGATCCTCTTTACAAACTGTATTTCAAATCCATCAAGGTAGCTCAAATGGGAGTCCCTTGCTAGTTGCTTCAAAGTACCCTTTCAGATGAACTGGAAACTGTTCCAAACACAAGAATTTCCTCTTCTATCTCAAACCAAACCCCTACCCTATGCATTAGAAATCAAAGCCAGATTTATGAAGGATACGTCAAGCATGGAGACCATAAGCCTGCATGTCTCCAGGTTAAAAGCTGCATAAAGGAAAACAAAGGAACACATTAGTCAATACAGACAACTCTTGATTCTTATAATTAACTCAAGCCTGTTATTTATCTAAGTGCTTTTATCTCCCTTCCCCTGTTCCTTCTCAGTGTGGTGTAGTGTATAGAATGATGGAATACGAATTTGGAGAATAAGGTTCAAATCCACATTCAGCCATGGAAACTCACTTGGGAAGTGGAACTGGTAAAACTTGTATCTCTCACTTACCTTGAAAGGTCTTAGGGTTAATGTAAGTCGTTTTCAACTTGACAGCATAAATCACAGAGAGAGAGAGAGAGAGAGAGAGAGAGAGAGAGAGAGAGAAGAGAGAGAGAGAGAGAGAGAGAGAAAGAGAGACTCACATAGAAACACATTATTCTTTCCCAAAATGCCTGGTTCTGGAAGATCTACTCGGATCACCCGCACGAGCCAGGAGGTGAGGCTGAGGAGCCTAACACCGAGGGAGGCCAGGAAGGAAAGGACACGAAATTGGGCCTTCTCGGTTCCTCGCCTCTGGAATAACCTTCCTCCAGCGATTTGTGTGGCCCCTACGCTGGGCATTAGGAAACTGACTGGGGAACTGGTAAAACTTGAATCTGTCACTTACCTTGAAAGGTCTATAAGGTTTAATATAAGTCAGTTTCAACTTGACAGCATAAATCATACACACACACACACACAGAGACACACACAGAGAGAGAGAGAGAGAGAGAGAGAGAGAGAGAGAGAGAGAGAGAGAGAGAGAGAGACACACACAGAGCATAAAGGAAAGCAGGAAAATTACAGATTCCTAAACAGTAATCAAAAAGCTTTGACACTGTCATTCAAGATTTGTATTGCCTCTTCATCCCTCAAGATCTGTTTTACTTCAAGTAATAGGGGAAAGGAAAAGAAAGGAAATTACAGAACAGGAAGAAATGCAAGAGGGCAAACAGTTACTCTTTCGTAATAAAAGGTTCATGTGCTGCTTGGAATAGGTGTTGTACCAGAAGAGGAAGAAGGCTGTCTCTCAAGATCTGTTTTACTTCAAGTAATAAGGGAAAGGAAAAGAAAAGTAATTACAGAACAGAAAAAAATGCAAGAGGGAAAACAGCTACTTTTCATAATAAAAGGTTCATGTGCTGCTTGGAGTAGGTGTTGTACCAGAAGAGGAAGAAGGCTTTTTTCTATCAATATTCATAATTATCGAGCTAACCCTTTTTAAACCAGCAGACGTCAATTTACCTTGTAGCAGGGAATTCCATAATTTATGACCTTTGAACCCACAAACAACCCATTCCACTGAAGAAAAAAAATAACACTGTAGTGTGCGATTCATGATTTTATCAAATATCATGCGACTCTTGATTTTTTGTACCAATATTCATAATTATCGATCTAACCCTTTTTAAACCAGCAGACTGCAATTTACCTTGTAGCAGGGAATTCCATAATTTATGACCTTTGAACCCACAAACAACCCATTCCACTGAAGAAAAAAAATAACACTGTAGTGTGCGATTCATGATTTTATCAAATATCATGCGACTCTTGAAATGTTGTTTCCCTGTGGCAGTTAAATCTCTAAGGTGCTTTTATATAACAAAAGGGTTATAAACCAAAAAAATAAAAAATAAAAAACAGAGTTTGATGATCAGCTTTGTTTTTGCTAGAATGTCAAGATCCACCAAGAACAGCTACTTTCAAAAGATGCCTTTGCGTACAATTTGTATCCAAGTGTTTGCTTTCAGTGTCAGAACTGGATTGACCTCACAGAAAAAAAACCCCATTCATGGTTAAACAAGGCGTCCTTATCTCAGCAGTCTAACATAGGTGCAGAAAGCAGTACTGTTGCTGCTATTAAACACTCAGGAGCCAAAAATGTTTGCCAGACATCTGAAGCTCAGCCAGAGGGCTACCAGTAGAGCCAGTTTACTTTCTGCCCATCCCTTATTTACGTTGTATTTAATAAAAGAAAAAAAATCTATTTAATTCTAAGGCAGCTTCAAAATAGTTAAACAGAAGTACAGTGGTGCCTCGCATTCAAAAGGGTTATAAACCAAGGAAAGCAGAGTTTGATGATCAGCTTTGTTTTTGCTAGAATGTCAAGATCCACCAAGAACAGCTACTTTCAAAAGATGCCTTTGCGTACAATTTGTATCCAAGTGTTTGCTTTCAGTGTCAGAACTGGATTGACCTCACAGAAAAAAAACCCCATTCATGGTTAAACAAGGCGTCCTTATCTCAGCAGTCTAACATAGGTGCAGAAAGCAGTACTGTTGCTGCTATTAAACACTCAGGAGCCAAAAATGTTTGCCAAACATCTGAAGCTCAGCCAAAGGGCTACCAGTAGAGTCAATTTACTTTCTGCCCATCCCTTATTTACGTTGTGTTTAATAAACGAAAAAAAATCTATTTAATTCTCTGGCAGCTTCAAAATAGTTAAACAGAAGTAATATGTTTTCAAGAGGTCTGGGATACATACCAGTTAGAAAGGTAGCACACAAACAGGCAATGGAAAGGCAGCACACAGACAGGTATGTGAGAGAGCAGAATAACTAAGCAAAAATGAAAACCAATGTAATTTTCATCACATTCTTGTCACATTAGAGATAGGTTTTCAAATACCGTATTTTTCCTTGTATAAAATGACGCTTTTTACTTAAATAATTAGACAAAAAATTGAGGGTCATTTTATACACGGAAGGCAGCCGCTTTCCCTGCCTTTTGCAAAGTCACAGGGTGAAGCAGCCGTGAAACGGTGGCAGGATCGCACCCCTTTGATCCTGAAGCCCTTTCATGGCTGCTTCAGGACCAAAGGGGTGCGATCGTGCAAATTTTCAAATTTGGGGTTTAGAAAGGGGGAGGTCATCTTATAAACAGAAAAATATGGTTTGTAATAGGCCCCTGGAAAGTCTGATTTTATTCATTTAGGACTTACAAAGACCAATGGTTTCCTATTTCAGAGTAAGCACTAACAGCACAGCAAAGGTGACCATTTTCATTAATTGCTCTGATAGCAAATGTTGTACATCAGGTTTACCCAGAATTATCTATTGCCACTGATTAATCAAAATATTTAAGATTCTCCCCACTAATGGAACAGTCATCAGTCTATTGCCACTGATTACTCTAATCAAAATATTTAAGATTCTCCCCACTATGTGTCCATGTATATGCATAGGATACCATTGCATGCATGTGATAAAGCAGATTTTGACCTACAAATGCTTTTGCTGTAACATAATCATTACTGAAACCTGTCAACTTACGTTTATAGGCACCTGCAATTCCTGATTGAGTCAAACATCTTTGAAGCTCATCAGCATCTATTTGCCCATCCTTTGGAAAACGAAGGAGATAAAAATAACATGAGTTTTTCTTTCTTCATACCCCACGTATTCCATTCTTTGCAAACTCCAGAGAGGGGTGATCAGGCCTAGATGCAGACAATGGGGCCATTCAAACCAATGCTAACTACCATATTTTTCGCTCCATAAGACACACCAATTTTTTAGGAGAAGAAAACAGGAAAATATAATCTGTTTTCTTCGCTCCATAAGATGCACAGACTTTCCACCTCCCTGTTTTGTGGGAAAAAAGTGCGTCTTATGGTGCGAAAAATACGGTACCTTGTAAATAGTGTTTTAACATGCTACCTTCTTTGCTCTTGCACGGAAATTAGAAACTCCAAACTCTTGTTTGCAGGAAACTACTGCCAAGTTCCACAAAGTATGCCCTCATAAGTACAAACCCAGAATTAGAAAGATCTCCCCTTCCCTTGTTTGGATGAAGCCACAACTGCAAACAAGTAGTAGAAGTTACAAATCCCCACCTGCAACAGAAGGATGCACATTGTACCTTTATTGTTTCTGGCCATAGGTCTTTACAAAGGCAGACTTGCATAAAAACGGTTAAAACAAACGGATGCCCCAGGGGTCAATGAACCCGTTCTGGGAATGGTGGCATAGTGTATAATATCAAAGTCACTATATTCAACATTTATGTAATATTATGAACCTTAACAAATCAAAGCCTCAGCTTCTTATCTTCCAGAGCAAATTGTGCAACAGAGTACATAATATACAGCTGTATATCAGCAAGTAGTCTTATTATTATTTCCACTGAAGTACAGTTGGGATACAGCTGAATAATGGGAGACAAAATCTTTCTCTGGGATTTTCATGGAGAGGACAGAGTAATAAGTAGTGAGTTTGGCCCTCAATCTGATTGCAGCCATAGACACATTTCTGCTCCTCTACTGGGGTTCCGTTATACCTCCCTGCTGTGGTCATCTGCCCAAATCTAAGTTCTGTGAAAGCTCTGCGGATCTGAGGAAAAGCCAGTGACTCAAAGTAACTTGGTTTTGCATAATTCAACTGAAGTTATTCTCATAACAGCCAGTCCTAGTCCATACCAATTCCCTGCACTGGTGGATCAGTGCACTCTCCAGTTTGCCAAACGATATCAATATTTTCTTAGAATAGTGGTTCCCAGCCTTGGGCTCCCAAAGGTTCCTGGACTAAAACTCCCAGAGACTTCACCACTGTGCTGGCCAGGATTTCTGGGAGTTGTAGCCCAAGAACATCTGGGGACCCAAGATTAGGAACCACTGTGCTAGAAAAAAGACTCCACCACATTCACGAAAGCTAGATATAAACATAACGAGTACTGAATGTTACATTGAAGATATGTCAATATCCAATTTTAGGATAATTAAGCATAGCTACATGGATGTCTTAACACATGATGAATGATCTTTTTTAAAGCTATTATAACATTATGGCAGTGGAAAGTGCGTGTGTTGTAGACACATACCAAATGAGCGCCACCATGTCACACTGTTTAGGGTTTTATTTGGGACTCAGAGCACCTTGATTCAAATCTTATCTCAGCCATGAGTTGTCTGAGTGTTTTTAGCCTATCTCTCAGCTTAACCTACTTCATCTGGTTGTTGAGACAATAAAAATAGGGAGAAAGACGATATGTCTTGAGGTTTTTTAGAAATAAATCTAGTGACTACACTCAGAACAAAGACTGATAAAGGATGACATACAGGCAAATCAGCAGTAAAATGAACAAACAACATACACGGGTGTAAAAGTTAACACAGAATATAACATACCTGCCCAGCTACTGCAGCAAAATAGCCATATAAAGGATCTTGAGCTTGACCAGGAAATGCAGGTCCTCCAGGAGCACTTCCATACTAAAAAAAATATTAAAAATAAAATACAGTTAATAATTGCACGCTTTTAGTTACCTGGCATACTTATGCAGAATTGTATCCCATTATGTCAATGGAGACTGCAGCCTTAAAAACTGCCTTGATTATTTGGCATCCTTCCACCAAAGCCTGTTTGAAGAACTACTCCTTAATAATTCCTTAAAGCACACGGTAAAGTGGGTCAGATGTGAGTGGATAGTTCAAATATCCAGGCTTACGTCTTCTGGCGCCAGGGGCTGGATCCCAGTGTTTGGGAATCACCTGCTTTTACTCATCCTGGCTATGAATGCCATGACAAAAACAATACCTAACAGAGTTACATTAATCAATGTTTGATTTCAAATAGCAGGAATATAACTCCTCGTCGTCTAGCCGTTTAGTCGTGTCCGACTCTTCGTGACCTCATGGACTAGAGCATGCCAGGCGCTCCTATCTTCCACTGCCTCCCGTAGTTGTGTCAAATTCATCGTGGTTGCTTCGATGACACTGTCCAACCATCTCATCCTCTGTCATCCCCTTCTCCTCTTGCCTTCACACTTTCCCAACATCAACGTCTTTTCCAAGGAGTCTTCTCTTCTTATGAGATGGCCAAAGATAACTAGGGCAGAGCAATTAGGCCTTTGCCCCACACTGCCAAAGTTTAGAAGGCACCAACATCTGGAAGTAAATCTAGTTGAAAGGAGAATATCTCCCATCTTAAATATGTACCTTTTTTGGGGAGGGGGCATAAAATTTCTCTTTGGGGGCCCCCACATTCACTGCCTCCTTTTTTTCTGTGTAGTGGTTTGCACCCGTATGCAAAGTGGGTTGGAGGCTGCAGCTCCAAAAGTGCGAATTACGGCTCTGTCAAAACGGACCTCCCTTGGGCATTGCACAGTCTCCAATTTAAGAGGTCTGATGAAAGACTATTGATTACTTTTAACAAACCAAGTGGGCATTTCACAGGTTTGTGTTTAATTTTAGTTACTACATTTTATTTAAGAGAAACGTACAGCATTTCTAGTTTTTATTTTAAGAACTGAAGTCCCCCCCCAAAAAAAAACCACACACACAGACATACCCAAAAAACAGCATGTGTGCCTATCCATAACCCAGCCTCTCCCAACCTGATAAAACAAATCTGCAGGAGAAGGCCAAGGCAAAGCGCCACTGTTATTGAAAGACGTGGGAGGGCGGAAAGCAAGCTTTTCTTACACCTAGAAGCACACTGAACAGCAAACATGCATTACCAATAGTTCTTTCAGTTCTGGAGTTACACAAGATGTGTTAACAGAAACCTCCGCCTCTGTGCTTAGTGTTCTTCAGATAGCCATACCCCAAGTCACACACAGTTTTTTTTTAACCTTCCTGAAACAGCCACCCTGTGGCTGGGATTAAGTCACACAAGGGCAATTTATGGCCTGGGAGAAATTGTTAGCCTGTAATTTCCGTCACCCTGGAATTTCTTGGCTAGCGCTGATGGGAACTGCAGTCCAACAACACCTGGAGGGCCATAAACTGCCCACCAGTAAACTCTGGATCAGAGTATCAAAGCACAACTAGGAAGAATGGAATTTCTCTCTCTCACACACACACACACACACACACTTACACACTTTCAACCCAGAGCTGCTAAGTAGATAAGTCACAAACAGGTGCAGACTGAACCTGAAATGTGAATCTGAGTGACACATATCATGTTGCGTGCTAGAGCCCCACAAGCTAAGATGCACCCACAAGTCACAGATCAAAACTGACTCCAATTTGTTTAGTTTTGTAGATGGGCTCGTCAAACTGCTATGGAGGTCACATGATTTTCACTGTACACAGATACTGCCTTTTATCTAATTTTTTTTTATTACAACAGATCCTATTATTGAGCTCACAGCAGTGTACATGGCTATTTTCTTTCGTATTTTTATCTGCACAGCCATCTAGAGATGTAGGTCTGACTCTCTCTCTCTCTCTCTCTCTCTCGGCTATTTTCTTTCATATTTTTATCTGCACAACCATCTTGAGATGTAGGTCTGGCTCTGTGTGTGTGTGTGTGTGTGTGTGTGTGTGTGTGTGTGTGTGAGAGAGAGAGAGAGAGAGAGAGAGAGAGAGATTGGCCCAAGGTCATTGATACAATTATGCAGAACCTTTAAAAGTTCAGTGGTGACCAGGAAACAGTAGCAAAATGCAGGGTGGTCAAATAAATTTATTCAAAATTTAATAAGCATGCACAGAAGCAGGTAGTAAAATAAAAGAATGAAGAGAAGGTTAGAAAAGGGGAAAAATCAAGAAAAAGCTGCCTGCAATGTGCTCTCAATGTATTCTTTTTATCTCATTACATGACTGCCCCCAGCTTTCATCAGAAATAGTTTTCTCCAATCAAGAGAACAGATTAAATCCACATTACAAATAGTGACACAAAACACATAGTATTTTGAGTGGATGAAAGGCTGGTCGGGTGTTGGCTATAGTTACCTAACTATTCTAAAAGCCAGCTTCCATTCATAGGTGGTTTCTTGTTGCTTATAACCTGTCAAAACTTCAGCTCTCTTATCTAACAGAAAAAAAGACATCAGCTCTGGACAATTCCTCAAAGAGGCCCACAGCTTCATTTTGGATTTTTACCTTTGCTCAAATTTAAAATGAAAGGCTGGTCGGGTGTTGGCTATAGTTACCTAACTATTCTAAAAGCCAGCTTCCATTCATAGGTGGTTTCTTGTTGCTTATAACCTGTCAAAACTTCAGCTCTCTTATCTAACAGAAAAAAAGACATCAGCTCTGGACAATTCCTCAAAGAGGCCCACAGCTTCATTTTGGATTTTTACCTTTGCTCAAATTTAAAAAAAGAGGATCGCAGGGTGGTCAAATAAATGTATTCAGATATATTCAGCCTTCGCGAATATATTGAAATGTATTCAGAACTTAACAAACATGCACAGGAGGCGGCAGCAAAATAACAGAATGAAGAGAGGGTTAGAAAGGGGGGGATTAAATCCACATTACAAACAGTGACACAAACACATCGTATTTTGAGTGGATGAAAAGCTGGTCGGTTTTTGGCTATAGTTATCTAACTATTGCTTATAACCTGTCAAAACTTCAGCTCCCTTATCTAACAGAAAAAAAAAAGACATCAGCTCTGGCCAATTCCTCAAAGAGGCCCACAGCTTCATCCTGGATTTTTACCTTTGCTCAAATTTAAAAAAAGAGGATCTAAGAATGTAAAATTAAAAATTAATTTATATAATTATAAAATACAGAGGCATAACAATGTGGAGAGACAAAACTGACCATAACGGTCATCCATTCAGTTTCATGATTCCAGTGAAGGCTAGAACTAGAGATGGGGGTATCCGTATACAAATATGAATATCCCCCCCACAGGTGGAGATAACGAGGGTCTGGCCCCATGGGGCCGGACTGTCCACTCACGCTAACGCGAGCTCCATGGAGCCTTCCTATCACTCTGTTATCCGCAATGGATTAGCCTGTCCTGGCAGAAGGTGGGATGATGAGCCTGTCTGCCAAGTCGCAGAGTGGCTAATCCACTGCAGACAACGGAGCGATAGAAAGGCTCAGTCGAGCTCACGGAATTGTGAGTGGACAGTCCAGCCCCATGAGGCCGGACCCTCGTTATCTCCACCTATGAGGGGATATTCGTATACGAATAATCCCATCTCTAGCTAGAATCTCAAAACCTCCTAAAACTCAGTCCATCATCAAGCACTATGCTAGACTGGCACATGTTCAATCCATATTGCTAGAAAAAGTTGCATCCTAGTTCCTGCATACAACCAGATCACCATATTCAGGGAGCCAATATATGCCCTCTCCTATAAATCAGACAATGGAATACTTGTGCCACACATTACTATGCAATTGGAAGAGTCCATTTCCTTCATTACACCACAGACCAGCTCTGAGTCCAGTACCAGATATATATCCCACAGAAGCATTATGTACATTAGTATAGCAGGAAATCTCAATGAGCATTTCTGAGTAGTCACAAGGCCACACAGTTGATGTAATTTAGAATACCTTACATCAGAACAGATCACAGGCTTATCTAGTAGCGTACAACGTAGACTCTTGTTTGGCCTTTCAGAGGTTTCATATACAGTAGTGGCCTTTCTCAGTTATATCCAGAGGTTCCACACAGAACTGAATATTTTGCACACACAGCATATATTCTGACATTGAGCAGAATATACGCTAGCCTTTCACCTAGTTTTCAAACAGACCCTGCGGACTATACAACATGAGTGTGGAATATCCCTCCCACATGTTTTTGGACTTTAACTCCCATCAGGCTGAGCCATGAAAACAACATTCTCTGCTGCTCTCTTCAAGTTCCTTTTGAGTTTAGTGGCAATTCTTACAACCACCCCCCCAAACTGGGGTGTGAATCGCTTTCCCTAGGAATAGTATACAGTGGTGCCTCGCTAGACGATGATAATCCATTCCACTGATATCGCTGTTTAGCGAAATCATTGTCTAGCGAAAAGCATTTCCCCATTGGAATGCATTGAAACCTGTTTAATGTGTTCCAATGGGGAAGAATCGTCGTTGTCTAGCGAAGATTGGCCATAGGAAAGCCGCTTTGCGAATCGCCGATCAGCTGCTTAAATCGCTGTCTTGCGAAGCTTAGGTCCCGAAAACACCGGTTTGCAAGCGCGGAGGGAGTTGTCAAAATCATTGTCTAGCGAAAATCGGTTTGCAAAGCAGGGACCAAACATTGTCCAGTGAAATTCCCCCATAGGAATCACTGTTTTGCGAATCGCTATAGCAATCGCAAAAAG